AAAGAATCGGTCCGAGTACCGAACCCTGCGGCACACCGAATTCTACTCCAGAATAAGGCGACGAGTCCTGATTCACATTGACGAAGTGATATCGATCTGATAAATAGGATTTAAACCAGCCAAGGGCTGTTCCTCTAAGACCTATATCACATTCTAGCCTCTGCAGTAGAATGCTGTGGTCTATTGTGTCAAATGCAGCACTAAGGTCCAGTAGGACCAGCACTGACACTTGTCCATTATCGGCAGCTAGTAGTAAGTCATTTGTGACTTTGACTAGTGCCGTTTCAGTGCTATGATGAGCTCTGAATCCTGATTGAAAGACTTCAAACATATTATTTTACTGCAGGTGGCAGCGGAGCTGCTCAGCTATAAGTTTTTCCAGGATTTTAGATATAAAAGTGAGGTTTGAGATCGGTCTGTAGTTTGTAAGTATTTCTGGGTCCAGGTTTGTTTTCTTCAGAAGGGGTTTGATTACCGCGGTTTTAAAAGCTTGTGGGACATAGCCACATTGTATGGATGCGTTTATTATATTTACGATAGGCTCAATTATCAAAGGAAGTATGTCTTTGAAGAGCCATGTCGGGACTGCGTCTAACATGCAAGTTGAGGCTTTTGAGGATGTGACCACAGAGATCACCTCTGCTTGGCTCACAGCCATCAATTTATCAAGGCCCACTGAAGAGTCTAAGTGGGAAGTCACGTATGCCGCTTCAACCTGTCCACCACTAACAGCCGGAGTAACCTCCTCCAGTTTGTCACGGATGGATGTAATTTTATTATTAAAGAAGTGGAGAAAGTCGACACTGCTCAGTGAGCTTGGAATTTTAGGCTTGATTGCGCTATGGCAGTTTGTGAGTTTAGCGACGGTGCCAAACAAAAATCTACTGTTGTTTTTATTCGCTTCTATTAAAGTTGAATAGTATTGAGTTCGAGCCCCGCGAAGGGCCTTCTTGTAGTTTCGGAGACCTGCTTTCCACTCCCTGTGGACAGGCTCCGAGTGGGAGTGGCGATATAGCCTCTCCAATTTTCTGACGTCCTGTTTTAAAGTGTGGAGTTGAACACTGTACCAGGGCGACGATGATCTAATCCTAATGGTTTTCTGTTTTAAAGGAGCTGCTGCATTTAATGCAGATTTTAAAGACTCCATAGTGTTGCCCACCGTTTGGTCAATGACTGAGGGACTGCAGCTGCTGTGAACAGGTTCACCTGCAGCAGTATTCAACATAGGCTGTATTAGTTCTTAAAACCTTGTGATAGATTTATCATTTAAGGTTCTTTTCATTATGGTTTTATCTTGCGGGACAGGAAAGTCCTCCAAAGCGAGATCAAACGTGATCAAGAAATGGTCAGACAGCAACGAGCTTTGACGCTGGATGTCAACATTGGAGACATCACAGCCGTAGGTCAGGACAAGGTCCAAGGTGTGGTTATGAATGTGAGTAGGTTCCTCAACATCCATCCATCCATCCATTTTCTTCCCCTTAATCCATTTCTGGGTCGGGGGGGTGGCCAGAGATGCCACCCAGTTCACAGAGCACCAGCCCCTCACTGATCCTCCTGCAGGTGGTGAGTCCACAGGAGCTGAGATCTTTCAGTGGGGGCTTCAGGCAAAGTGGGGTTAAGTGTCTTGCCCAAGGACACAACGACAGCAGTCATCAATGGGAGTCGTGAAGTAGGTCTTACGGTGGGCTTGAACCCACGACCTTCAGGCTCAAAGGCCAATGCTCTACCAACTGAGCCACTGTCGCCCCCTGGGTACTCAGAATGTTCCTCAACATTCTGAGTAAAACCAACACCATCTAGTACGGCGCTGAAAGCTTTGTTTAGGCTAAGCCTCTATTCAGCACTTTTTACGGTCTGAATTCATACAAAAGCTGAATCAATGAGCTCCAGTTTTCAATTAAATTACGGATTATAATACAATTTGCATGTAGTAATAAGCATTTTTATGAACTAATTAAAAAAAAATCGGGTATAGCTTCTTTAACCAAATTTTGGGCAATAAGCCAAAAACAACAGTGGGTTTATCATTCATAAAGAACAGATTATGTGCATAGTGGAGGCCTGAAGTTTATGTCAAGTAGAAGAAATGAGGATAACATCATAGAGGTAAGTGTAATGCTGGTATTTTATGCAAGGCTACTTGCATAAAATCCTGTTTGCATTATAGTTTTTAAATTATTCAAATATGTTTGCACTTCGGCTACAAGCTAGTTAAAAATAATTGTAATCAACAGTTAATCGGCTTAGTTCTGTCTATGGTAACGAAAGTTCTACACCCCTCTGTCTTCTTCTGTGTTTAAAAGTTGTTGATTTTAAGTATAGTAAGTAAGTAAGTAATCTTTATTTATATACCGCCTTTCACAGACCAGAGTCACAAAGCGGTTTACAATTATGTGTTTACAAGTATGGTGATTAAACAAGACTTAGGAAAAGAGCTAGCAATATTTTAGCAATTAGCATGATGTTAGCGGTTAGCTAACATTTGTTAGCAATTGTTTTTATTGTTAAAAAAAATCAAATCTAAATGTATTGATTATTATTGTATGGTTACGTAGAATAAGTTGTTACCCAAATGTTACAAGTTCCTTGTATATATTTTTAATTTATCTTCCAAAATCTATCCTTCCAAAATATTTGTTTTATCACATGCACAAAATGCTTTCATCAATTTATTCTCATCTAACACCTGTATATAAGTCAAATTTGAGGTGGTAATGGTCAACAGCTTTGACCTCAAAAGTGATAAACACTTTTTAAAACACTAATTAATTATACATTTCCCTAACCGTAACCCTAACCCTGTACGCAGTTTTTTCCCATGTGATTTTGCTTGAGATCTTTTTATCTTATCAAGATTGCGGCTGATTCTTTTATTCCTCTCGTTTTTATTTTTACCAGTTGTCAAATCTGTTGGTTTTGGACGTGGATGAAGATCCGGAAATGTCTGATGGTCTACGAAACCCAATGGAGTCTCAGTGAAATTCCCACAATGCTCTGGTGTAGTTTAGATTTACATTTTGATCCTGTGAGTTTGTTTGACCTTGCATTTGGCCAGCGCAGCTGTAATAGAAGTACGACACATTTAGGGGAAGTTAGAGATGACTGATAGTGAGATATAAAATAATAAGTGTAAACTTGATGGCCTTCAGAATAGAGAGAACAAGAGTTAAATTAAAGTTAATAAAAGTATTATGTTTTAGATGTCAAGTGTCCTTTCATCACATTTCTTTTCTTACATACAATTTGCACCATGGTTCACACATAGAAGAAGGGTTGAATACATATTATTGGTTCAGAGAACAGATGAAAATGTGCAAAGGGGTCCCAATTCTTTTGTTATAATTTACAATATTATTGTAATCATTTGCCCCTTCAATGTCAATATATCTTTAGAGCAACCTGTCAGGAACAGGATTTGCCTCACTGCAGCACCCAGGGATATCCACTGAGATGACAATTCATGTCACTTTTTTACATATTGTTTTTGGCACATTGTTCAGAAACTGGCATGTGCATGCATCTCCTTATAAACAGGAATCATTCAAAAGTGAAAATAGTGACCACACATAGGCACACATGTTTCCCATTAAAGTAAAGATCACCATTGCCTGTGCACCAAATGTATTAGAAATAGCTGATAGGGCATTAACATGATTCTAAAACCTCACCGCCTGCTGTGAAGAGTCCATTTCATTAGAGAAACACAATGTGAAAAGCATGACGTGAACAAACCTTTTTTGTTTAGGTCTTATTGCATGCTACATTGCATTGATCAGCTTGACTCAGCCTGTCACTCTGTATTTATTGTTTGGGAGCGAAATCAAAAGCCATTGTGTTTATGTTGATTTCTGTGGTTTGTTTGTGGTGGTTAGTCGTCACTCTGTTTGTCCAATTCAAGTCAAGTTTTGTAGCTTCATACCTCATCTCATTCATGCATTTGTACTATATCAGCTGAACAAACTAAAAGTCTGTACTTGGCCTATACTGGTATTTACAATTAATTAAACATTCAGAATTTGTAATTATTTTTATGTATTATTTTTTAGAAGATTACCGCCATGCGATCAACACGACTTCAACACATAAGCCTGATTTCTTTCAGTTGTCAAATTGCTTCACACATTACTAACAAGCACGTATCCAACTGAGCCATAAATCTGTGGAAATTCCATTGTTGAATGTAGTTATTTTTTATATTGAGAGTTAAAGTGTGGTTTTAATCAAGCCCCCTTTATTTGTTCTCCCAGTGTTTGGTTCCCATGAATACCAGTGGGTAAACAATAAGAAACATTGCTTAAACATTTCTCAGTGGTTGTTGAGAGGACTCAGACTCATTAGAGGATGGTCAGATAGCATGAGCAATTATGAATCTAAACTTTAGAGAGATATTTTGGAGCCATAAAAATGACTGAAAAAATATGTTTGAGTGGTGCTGGTTTAAGGCACCACATTTGCTGACCAGATCCCAGTTCAAGTTTCATGGAGGACTTACTTCAAACTTATAGAGGGATTTGCAGCAATAATCATCTTTCTTTTTTTACAGTAATAATCCAACTGTAAAGTTGTGCAGCCAAGGATGAGACTATATTGCATTTCTACAGTTCAATGACACATCCCAACCTCAATATGATGATATACCATTGAGTGGCTAAATTCATCAAGAGACTTTTTGACAATAGAAAGGGCTTGCGTGTGTCACTCCATAATTCCATCCTACTTAACTTTGTGATTATAGGATAATGCTAATTATTTATATAATTTATTTATAAATACATCCCTACAGTATTTAGGAGGGATATTGTATTTGTATCTGTGTTTGGATGTATGTGTATGGAGGATTGCACAGAAACATCTGGATGAATTGGGCTGAAATTTATGAATGTTGTTGGGATGTGATGGAAGGAACTCCATTGACATTTCCGAACGATCAGCATGATGGATGTTCTTTTGAGATTTTGTGGGAGACTCATTTTCTGTTCTGTCTCTTCATGTTTCAGGTCAGAAGCAGGTCCATTTTTTGGAGATGAAGCTGCGGTGGGACATGCACTTCCTCCTCCTCCTGAGCCTGCTGGAACTGGGCTCAGCCCAGGTTAACCCAGGTCTGTGTGCCCGCTTTATTGCCCCTATATGTACTCTGATGGAACAATGATAAGGCAAGAAAAGGCTCAGACTTGGGATTTGCTGTGCTTGGTGCAGTTATATTGTTCAAACCAAGTTTTGCGTAAGTGCCCCTCTGTGGTTTGCTCTCTGGTCCGCTCTTTGATCCCAGCCTCATCCCCCAGTGTACATGTGGTCTGTGTGATGTCAAAGAAATAAATTACATTTAACAAAGTAAAGCTTGACTAAATACAGATGTAAAGTTTGATGGACATTTTAAAATTCTTTAAAAAGCTTTAATTGAGTCCATTGCTACTGCCATAGACCAAGTTATTTAGAATATCTTCATTTTGCTCTATTTAAAAAGATATAACTATCAAACTTCTGATGATGAATCAAAAGCAGTTTGAACTTCAAACTCACAAAGAAATCGAGTCCAAAAAGATAACGATGACCCATGTACTACGCCTGGACCTTTTCGCTTTATTACAAGATATGTTTTCCTCAGCTGGACACTACTCAAGGACACCAGCTATACCCTCCTTTAAATTCCCCAAAGAAAATGTAAGTTTTTTTCCATTTATAAATTACAGTTAGAGTAGATGAGATATCGGAGGCCAAGACAACATGGCTTCAGCTTCACAAAGGCTCCTGCCATTTCTACGAAGGATTTTCTTCTATTTTAATTTGTTTGTTTTGGAAACTAAGTGTGAGAGGTAACTTGGATTCCAAAATGTTGTTCTATTATTACTATGAAGTGCTCTTGTTTTGTGTTTAGTTGAGCCCATGCATACGCCCTCATACTGATGCAGAGGATCCAGCTATCCCACTGGAGTCTGTGGCTAAAGCATACCAGACATTCTGACAGCAGGAAAGTCCATTCAGAATATCTGTGTCTCTGCCCTGCACTCTCACTATATAGACAAGTGAGCCATGGAAAGTAGTATTTGTGCATCTGATGAAGATCAAAGTGCGTTCACTTCAGATTTTATTTGACACATGCATGCAATTAATTATTCTAAAGCTGTATTAAAGGCCTCCTCCACATTTACAGTTAGCTCTATAATACAGAAATCTGCACCTCGTTTTAGTCCATAATGCTGTAATTCTGCAACATTTGAAAATATGTTCATTTTTCCACCAGCTGGAAAAATTCATGACTGAATTTATAAGAGATGATTCCAACTTTCCCCTGTTTAAAATTCCCAAGCTATGAAGTTATCCCATCCCTGTCTATCCCATTTTACTCCTGAGTGGGCGAGTTTTATTTCCCTGTGGAGAGGGAAGGAAGCACTGCCGGCAGTACTATTCTGCAGTTGTTTTTTTTCATTGGGAAGTTTTTGTTATGAGGGCTCCAAAGCAAGTATCATCATTATTACCCCAGCCCATACCTTTATTCCAGGCTGCATAAGAACAATACGTTTTAGTTGTATTGTATATACTGTATCTGGAGCGGATCCCTCTCTCAATATGTGGGTCTCCCCGAGGCTTCTCACTTTTTTCCCACTGGGTTTTTCTTACGAGTTTTTCCTTGCCGATGCAGGAGGGTCTGTTGGACAGTTAGTGTCCAACTAAAAGGACTGATGATCCAGGACACTTTAACATTCTACAACATGTATGGACATTTATCAACATGTGTTCTATATTCTTCATGTGTCCTAACTGTTGATTCTCTGATCTGGGTTGGTGATTAAATTTTTTGACTTCTGTTGTGATTTAGGGCTATAATATATTGTATTGTATTGTATTGTATATCTATATCTATATAAATTCACACAATAGACCACATTTAAAAGGGTCCAGAATTATTAGAAGTTAAAGTTACCAGGATCACAAATGAACAAAGTGTCAGAAATACCTCCACTTTGGCACAAAATATTGTATCTATAATTCACTTTTCTTTTCACTTTTTGTGATTTTAGTTTACTGAAAGTGAATTCCTGTTTATTTCAATCTAAAGTTTTAATATTAATAAGGTGTCCAAAATAGTAGCACAAGTTGACATTCACGTTAAGGCCCTGAAGTGCAAAGTAGATGGCAGTTTGTGACATGTGCATACTTGGCATGGGTGAATCTATACGTCGCCAGATGGACAGCAAACATTTGAACAAGTTGCTCTTTCAGAAAAATCTGTCTCCCTCCGCCACACAAGGCCGGTATTTTTCCAAGTTTTTGTAGTGATATTTTTAGCATTGGCTGCGGCCCGGAGCAGACCCTGGTGAGTGAGGGTGTTGCGGGATAAGGCCAGGGGGTCACCTCTGAGTGGGTCGGGTAGATAAATAAACACGGCAAAAACCAACATTTGAAAGAGCGGTGTATATCCGGTGCCACACAGAGTAACCAGTCTCTGCTGGTCTTTAGGATGTGGTTAAACTCTGATAACGACTCCTATTTTCTTTCATAACGACGCAGGCCTCGCGCTGCTCCCAACGGGGGTGATGTACCGTCTGTCGTCTTTATTATTAAAGCTTTTGGCTTGATGAACAATACAATGTAAAACGCCCTTATAGTAAATCTGCATTCTGAAATGTCTCATTTGTGTATTTCAATATTACATTTAATTGACATTTTTGACAGAATGGAAGGTCTGTCAAAAGCATAAATATGGGGAAGATGTGCTATTCATAGCAGGAACTCTGGTGCAGCAACATTTTTCTATCATGACAGCGCCATACCTGTCTATTAATTCAGAACAGTGTTCCTCTTTAGCCCCTGATTGGTTTCTTTCAATGTTTTTTCATTGGTCAATAACTGAGAAAAGTTAAGATTGAGATTTATTTTTAAATCTCCATTTTTGGTTCAATCCTAATTCTACAAAAAGGTTTCTTAAAGACAACAAAACAGACAGACACATCAACATTCAAAAATATACAACAAATAAACAAACAAACAAAAAAGTATATAAATATATGCATTTGAAGGTCATTCATGTTTTTGTTATTTGTCTCTTGCGTTTCAATGCAGATTGCAATTTTAGGTGAAAGAAAAAAAATATCGGAATTACATTGTTTTTGCAATACACTCATATCAAATATCGCTCTAATTTCCAATATTGTGCAGCCCTAGTGGCTAGAATATATTGTTTACAATGGTCAGAAATAGGAAATAATAGTTGTTCTGTTTAGTTAGTGATTCTGTTTATGTGAAGGAAGAAATACCAGCTGTGGTTTGAGAAAAAAATATACAGATTATTATAGAAACAGATGAACGTAAGTGGGCCTTGTTTTAGTTGATTGGCCAACTAATTAGACACGTTTTCGGTCCACCAACAATTTTCCTGGTTGATTACAGCTATAGATATTTTGAACCTTTTCAGCTCAGTAACTGTGTATCGGGTCACTGGTTCAGGCTCAAGTTTTTGGGGATTTCCTTATCGTGAGTTTTGTACAAATATTTTGAGGAGATGCAGAAAGAGGGATCAGAGCAGGACAGGACAAAGTGGGCCTTGAACCAGAGCCGTGCTGATGCTGGCAGCGTTTCAAAGGGTTTTTGTCAGACAAGAGCCCTTTACAGTGCATCTATGTTATTTTGTCATCCAAAGGCCTTTCATCAATTAAATGTAGAGCTAAAATAATGTTAATTTCCTGTTCGGGATAGGGTTCTCTAACCAAAACATCTTCTCATATTGGTGCATTCAGAATTGTGTAAAGCAGCTTTGTCGTGCTTGTTAATCTACTCAAACATAAAATTCATTGATGAACTGCAGTGTTTTTGTTTTTTGAGGCTGGATAGTGATTTCATTTAGGAATACAGATTTTTTTTTAAAATAATAATGCATCGGTTTTATATAGCGCTTTTTTGGACACTCAAAGCCACAGCTGCCCTAGGGCACACTGACAGAAGCGAGGCAACCAGTATGTGCCATCGGCTCCTCCGACCACCACCAACCATTCAATGGGGGTGAAATGTCTTGCCTAAGGACACAACAGAAGTTTGGCACTTTACAGCCGCAGCTGCCCCACTGTGGCACCTGGTATTCCCAGAGTTTAAGTGTCTTGCCAAAAACACAATGACATCTTTGGGAGTCGGAGGAAAAAGTCTGGGGTGGACTCAAACCCACAACATGTTCTGTTATGTTTTGTCAAAATTTTTATTTGATTGAGTGCATGATGTAGTTCCAGTGTTCATAAATAATCAAGCAAATTCAATTTGATTTGTCCAGCAATTTATGCAAAAACATTGTTATCGAGGCTAATCTCAATTTATTATGTATTTAATCGCTTTGTGCAGACCACACAGGCACAGAAATTTTGAGAGAAATTGACAGGAAGTAGACAGGATATTTCTTTTATTGCCCACAATCTGGGGCGAGGACGTAAAAACATAGACCCACCATGACCATCTTCTATTGACACAAATGTGCCCTCGTATTTCAATACTTCAACCACAATTCATTTCTAAGAGCGTGGATCTGCGTGCCATCGCACCAGACCATATGTGCAGTCCTATCCATCATACCACACTTTGACAGAAACCCCTCTGCTTGTGTTAGCAGAGTTTGGCAAATATTTTAGTTTTGGTTTTAAGAAGTTGACTTTGGAGCGAGGGAGATGAGGTGAGGCTGCAGAGTGGGATAATCCAAGTCAATACTTAATGGTGGAAAAATAGGAGAATCCCTTTGACAAGAAATAAACAGTGTCAGATAAAACAAATGCTGGGGCAGATGAGTTAGTAAGAGCTGGACAAATGGGACTGTCTCAAACAATCTATATTTTAAAAACTTGAATATTTGCAGCCATTATGTTTGCTTTTATATCTTGTCTATAATAAGACCTATTGATGACTGTAAAAAAGATATAATATGTTTGGCCTTTATAATGTTTACGATGACAATACCATGAATGACCGATGTATTAACTATTGTGTGGTGTTGTTCCCAGCAGGAGTGTGCCGCTATCCTCTGGGGATGTCAGGAGGGCAGATCCAGGACGAGGACATCTCTGCTTCGAGTCAGTGGTCTGAGTCTACTGCTGCCCGATACGGACGGTAAAAACTTATTTAGAAACGCACTAATAATTTCCCACTTCTTTCTCTAAGTGGTTCTTTGTGAAAATCTGAGCTGCATTATTGGTTTAGGGCCATGCCTTTTCCTAAAAAGTGTGATTTATAAGGGTTAGAAGCAAGGGCGTAGGTTTGCGTGGGGACCATGGGGACATGTCCCCACCAATATTTGGTGAGGACTAAAAAGTCCCCACCGAAATGACATGATGTCCCGTGACCCGGACGGTCCGGGACACATGTCTTCCGTTTGTGCATACGTCGCGCCTCCTCCTCGCCTCCAGAGCAACAGCAGCAGCAGCAGCACGTGACCCGTTCCGTTCTCTGCAGTGATTGGCTGTCTTCTTCAGCGCCAAACTGAAGCACTGAGCGACTGTTTAATTTTTAAAAGTTAGCCAGCGTGAAGCAAGTGTTTTTTTTCGTTCCCTGAGCGTTGTAGCACGTGAGTAATCAGAGGAAAGTACTGTAGATCTATTACCATTCAAAGTACTTACGTTATTTCTAATCTGTCAGCGCACTGTTTAATGTTCCGAGGAGCTCACACGGCACAGAGACAGAACAGAACTGGCTCCAATAAAGAAACAGGTTGGTTGAAAGGCTGAAAAAATTCTTATTGTGCTCTTACTATCCAAAATGTATAAGTGGGTGTGTTGTGTGAATCAGGATAAACTAGGGATGAAAATATTCCACGGATCCACGATTTACAACCTTTATCTGCTGATAATGTAATTTCTGTGAAATGTGTGACAGCGGGCACTTGCTGTTATTTGCTCTAAGCACATTCAAGAGATGCACTCGAATGTGCACGTCCTGATGCAGCTGCTGCCGCTTTGTAATGACAGCCGCGGCGCTCAGTGAAAGCACAGCTCTAACATGGTACCGAGCTCGGACCATATGCAGACAGAACCATGTTGCAAGTGCGGGTCTCCCTCGTATCTCCCCCGTTTCTCCCCTGTGTCTCTGACATGTCTCTCCCCTGACTCTTCCCAAAGCGCAACCAGCGCTCCCGAAATTAAAGCTCGGATACTTAAATTTTCCATTGCGTTAACGATGCATGCTGGTTGTGCGCAAAACCCACCACAACAGGTCATTTAAGTTTTTATTTTGCATACTTGAGAGCCCTGTGAGTCATTACTTGCCTTTTTGGGTTGAGAGTGGAATAAAAAAAAGAAAATATAGAAAAATCCACACTGTTACTTATTGCCAAACTCTTGTTAACTCATTGTATTGAGAAATACTATGTAACTTTTGACATTGGCCAAGTTATATAAATGATTCTGCAGTTCATGTATATGAATGTCTGTTTTTGATTGTCTATACCTTCTTGTATAATTTAGAAAAAATGCCACCTCCACAAATAAGATAAAAGATATCAGGAGCTTTTTTAACAGTTGGAAAGTAAGTAAGAGAAAGCACAAGTAATAGCAAATTATGAATTGTGATGATTAATCTTCTGTTAACATACATAACTGCTTCTCATTCAGTCTACAGCTGAGTTTAGTATAGAAGGCAACACACTATTGCAAATATAGTGTGTGATTACACAACAAATTCTGGGGGAGAAACTCTGGACCCCGTGTCAATGGGTGTAGACTCGGGTCGTAGTGAATGTCCCCACCAAGATTGGAACCAAACCTACACCATTGGTTAGAAGGTTTGTTTAATAAGAGTGTTAAGAAACTACTACTGCTTGATTACCTGGGTTCGATTTTATATCCAGGGGGGGTACTTTCTGTGTAGAGTTTGCATGTTCTCCTCGTGTCTGCCTTACCTCCTACACAAACATGGGTAGTACATGCAAACATGTACCATAGGTCTGAGAGTGTGTAGAGTGAATGAAAAAAAATTGGTACAAAACTTTGACCTTGGTCTGGGGATTGCACTCTATAGTATAATATAAGTAATCTTTACTTATTTGTATATATAAAACCTTTCACAAAATTGATCTTTTTCACTTTTTAACATGTTTTAACATTCCTTTTTGTCTTTTTGCACACCCTGAATGATCATATGTACATTTCTCCATTGTGAGATCAATAAAGTTTATCTGATCTTACTTCTCGATAAGAAAATAGATAGCCTCTCCTGGATGTGTCTTCTTTACACTGACAATACCGGTTTCGAGGAACATTTCAGTGCCTTTTTGAGTGCAGGCTCCTGTTTGATAGTTAACACCTAAATGTATTTGTATAAACTGAATGTATTTCTACAGAGTGTATGATACTTACACTATGTTTGTCTTCAGTTGACGTGCAGTATATGCTTCTTGGTCTCCGTCTCAGTTGGTATTTGTGGGCGGGTGGTGCAGGTGTGTATTTATTTGCAGTAAACCACAGTTGGAGTATCAGTTCGCGTGTGATTAGAGAGATATGTGTGGAACCTGGGTGGCCTCTCGCTAAAATACGTGATGTAATATACAATCCCTGTATTTCCCGCCAACCTTTACTTTGCCCCCTGCCAAAACCAAAACCCAATTTAACACTTTCAGATTAATTTACGACACATGATTTCACTACTGTTTTCATAACGGTTTGGAAATCTAAAGCACTCCAAGCTTTTGCGATTGACATAGATTGAATAGTAGATCCTGAACACATAAAATGTTAGATATTGAAAAAGTTAGGTTGATTTTAGCATTAGCATTAAATGAAAAAAGTTTGAAAATCACTCTGAGTAACAGCATAGATTAGATTAAAGTTCACATTATGAAACTCCTTTCCCCAGAAATGTGTTCTCTGTATTTGACCCATCTGTCCAATGCTTCTGGGGCAGATGTTGATGCTCGACTTGCTCAGAAGAGGATAGTCCTATGGTGCATGGTTTGGGTGATGGAAGGCGACCAGAGCACCTGCAGGAAATCCACCCAGACTTGTGTACAAACATGCAAACGTAGCACAGGATACACCCACAAAATTGGGATTTGGACAGCACAAAATGTGTCATTTTTGCTTTTTGCTTAGATTCTACTATATTCTACTATATTCCATTATAGTAGACAAATGAAAAGTAAGTAATGATATGCTTATTATTGGAGTGATAGTATCGAGCAATAGTGACAATTGTAACTGTAATAATAATCCTTCATGAATTTTTTGTTATTGCCAGGCTGGATTTTGAGGAGGGCGATGGAGCTTGGTGTCCTGAGATCACAGTGGAGCCCGACCATCTAAAGGAGTTCCTTCAGATTGACCTGAGATCACTGCACTTTATCAGTCTGGTTGGCACCCAAGGGCGACATGCAGGCGGCATCGGTAACGAGTTTGCGCAAATGTATAAGATAAAGTACAGCCGCGATGGAAGCAGGTGGATCTCCTGGAGGAACAGACAGGGCAAGCAGGTGTGTAATGCTACTGTTGATACAATAGATTCATTAACATATTCTGGTTCTTTCTGGGAGTAAATGGTTTCTCGTCAAACTTTGGGTTTGTGGTGGCTGGTTGCAACAGGAAGAACATCCGGCATTTAAATCAGCCAATTCACTGTGCTGTGGTTACACTGGATAGCAAGGAAAGAGGACAGAGGGCCCACGCTATGAAGATATTTGAGAAAAGACATTTTGGAACCATACATTATGTCAGAACAAAAGCACTATTCAGTTTTGAAGTCTTATCAGCAACTGTTTGTGGTCGACCACATTCTGTTTGCACACACAGTTTAAGAGATGGGCTGCAGTGAGCAAAGTGAAATAGCCTGTGCAGTTTCCCTGGTTTAGTTTATATGACATGTGCATGTTAAATGAGTTTCAATGTTAATCAGTGCTGATCACACATGCAAACCCTTGATAAATACACCCGTTGTGTACCATTGTGTCCCATTATGTACCTTTTATTTGTAGGTGATCGAAGGAAACAGAAATGCTTACGACATCGTCCTGAAGGACCTGGAGCCTCCAATAGTCGCCCGGTTTGTGCGGTTTATGCCTGTGACGGACCACTCCATGAACGTGTGCATGAGGGTGGAGCTGTACGGCTGTGAATGGCTCGGTGAGAAGGGGGCTGAGTAACTTATGCACTTAGTTGGTGGCAAGTTTGATACATTTTGGATATTATGTTGTTTACAGGATTTAGATATTTCATTATGCCTTTATCAGTCTGTTTGGTGCTGAATTGTTTAACCTTTATGTAACACACTGTACTAATAAAGTAACAAATGTGCAAGAGCTTTTTGTGTTCTGTAGGCTATAGGAAAGTCTTTTAGCATGCTTATCTTTTGTCCTGTTGCAGATGGCCTGGTCTCGTATAATGCTCCCATTGGAGAACACATGACTTTAGGGGGCTCTTTTGTTCATCTGAATGATTCTCTTTACGATGGAGCACTCGTCCTCAGGTGTGTGCATTTTCTCTGCCAGAACAAGTCATAGTATTGTAGTCGCTAAACAAAGTATTTTATTAAAACATATATATTTCTTAATATATTCCTGAATTCGAAAACAACTGACATAAGTTGAGCCTGGTGGCACGTCATCATTGAATCTAGAAAGCCCCAGAACGGAGCAATTCTTTTTGTGTTTATTGACAACTGGGATTTTGGTCGGTAATGTTGTGGTGACTAATGTCCTCCATGACACTGCCCCAGGATCAGGGAAAATGAGTTGGAAAATAACATGGAGAGAATTGGAACTTGGTCCAACATCTTTTCCTAAGAATTGGCTTTGTAACGCTGCCACCTAGTGTCACTTCAGATATTATATTAGCTTATTATCTAAATCCTCTTTGGAGGAGCGCAAAGCTGGATTATACTGTAACTAGAGTTTCAAATTTACTTGGTCATTTTACCACTTGGGTAATGAAAGGAAGAGGCATAAATCTTAATCCACAAAGTGGCAAAGTTATGCAGCAATTAAAATGTACTACAGTTTGAACAAAAGTATTTTCTGTTTGACTTTATGTTTCATATATTTTTGTGTGTTTTTTCCCCCAGTATGACGGAGGGCTTGGGCCAGCTCACTGATGGAGTGTGTGGTTTGGACGATTTCACAGTCAGTCATGTCTACAATGTGTGGCCTGGTTATGACTATGTGGGCTGGAACAACGAGAGCTTTCCAAATGGATATGTTGAAATCATGTTTGAGTTCGACCGCACACGAAATTTCACCTCCATGAAGGTGAGGTCACAGTAGTATGTGCTTCCACACCAAAGTAAAACATTTCTACAACTATCTAAATTATCAAAAGTGTTTTTGCTATAGCAGTGGATAAATAGTATGGTTCACTAAAAAGTGGTCTTTCCAATACTATCTGTTGCCAGGATATATTTGGTCAAACTGACCTGACAAAGAGTGAACTGCAGATAGAATTTTTTTTTTCTATTCACATTTCACATTCAGCCCTCTCTAATTTCATACCTGTTTTATTAAAAAATAATTGAGATGACTTTTTGTTTCATGTAATATAAAAAATATATATTTTAAAAAATATATATATTTTTTTCTCCTCCTCTTCTTGTCCTCAGTTATTATAAAAATCTCTTTTTTGTGTCTGTCCTCTCAGGTCCATTGTAACAACATGTTTGTGCAGCATGTCAAGGTCTTCAGGCTGGCGGTGTGCTACTTCAGGTCAGATTTGGACTGGGAGGTTTCCCCCCTGAGCTTCAGTCCAGTGGAAGACCTGAAAAATCCCAGTGCGCGGTTTGTGACGGTAAACCTCGCGCACCACATGGCTTCAGCCATCAAGTGCCAGTTCTACTTCTCTGATGCTTGGATGCTCTTCAGTGAGATCACCTTCCAGTCAGGTACAGACCCAATTCAAGTTGTTTGTTGCCATTCATTTGTGAAGCTGTTGAATACCTAGCTGGTTTAAATCTGGGGTGCCACATTTTTCACCCAATACGTCGCATTGTTTGTCTGAACTGAAAGACAAGTAGAAGTCTTGTATAAGGTAAAATGAACTAGAAATAAACTAGAAATAAACTAAAAATCAAACAACCACATGGAAAACATTGCATACTTGTAACAAAGAGCCCTGCAAGTCACAATTTGATGAGCCACTGAGAGTTGATTGAGTGAGGGTGGTCCTGTCTTTTTCACTTTATTCTCCAAAAAAGCTGATTTAAAGATTTGACAGAGGCCAAAAATACATGCATGTGAAAACTAGTAATAAAATCGAACTGTTTTTCAGAGCAAGGAACTAGTTATGTGAAGGTCTTCATTGTTTTTATCATATTGTTCTATTTGTTGGGGTTTTAAAGTTACTTTCCTCTACCCTAATACTGGATTAAAGAATATTTGTGGAAATAATAATAATAATAATAATAATTAAAGCCGCAAGCGGCGTCGAACGGCCCTCGCCGCACCGCGCGACTCCCCGCACCGCGCGCACCAAGCCACCCCGCACCACGCCGCCCTGCACCACGCCGTCCCGCATCACGCCGCCCCGCACCAAGCCGCAACGCGCCGCTCCACAACGTCCCGCACCACACCGCACCACGCAGCACCGCCCAAAAGAGGTGGCGCCGCCGTGTGATGATTTGTTCCCGTAGCCATAGAAGATTGTTAGTCAAATTGTAATGAATATGATAAGTAGAGCTGGTTTGGCTCCCCATGTAAACTTTGACTCAGTCTTTAGGGGGCGCTAATGGGCCAATTTCGAATATTTCACTTTCACCTGACCTAAACCCTGGAGTTGAACAATGGATTCAAGTTTAATGCAAATCAGACTTTGTTTGTGCAAACGGGGAAAAAATTTATGTTGTCAAAAACGGCCAAAAAACCCTCACATCTTGCCGCTCCGCTGCTCAAACAGCGTTTCACTGATCAAAATTCCCTGAAGTAATTTTGAAGGTAAATGTGTTGAGATGATTTGGAACAATTTTGAGGCCAATCGGTGAAACGGCCGAGGAGTCGCCGCTTTCCAACCGACATGTATGAAAATGATTATTTTTCATTTTTCCATTTTGCAGTGAAATTTATGGGCTTCCTGTTTGTCAGAGGGATTAGCCATAATAAAAAAATGTCAATGTCTTGACTTGAGGAACATGTGTTCCAAATTACATGGTTTTATGACAATTTTGACCTCGAACCCCTCCCATAGGCATTTTTAAATCGGCTGTTGCAGGTGGCGCTATAGAGCATATTTCAAAATTTTAACTTTCAAATGACCTAGACCCAAGAGTTGAACCATGGATTCAAGTTTTGTGCAAATCAGACTTTGTTTGTGCAAACGGAAGCAATTTTTCTATTGTCAAAAACTGAAAAAAAATACGCCACTTTTTGGCGCTCCGCTGCTCAAACAACGTTTCACTGATCAAAATTCCCTGAAGTCATTTTGATGGTACATGTGTTGAGAGGATGTGGAGCAATTTTGAGGCGAATCGGTGAAACGGCCGAGGCTGGTTTGATGTTTGTGTGAGGTGTACATTTGCAATGAATGGGGAGCGTTTGTCGTCGCCACGGCAACAGGGTAAAAAATAAGCCTTGGACCCTATTGACTTTTTGAATCAACAGGGCAAAACAGATTTATGTGCAAAATTTCAAACATTTTGAAAAAACTAAATTTGAAAATGCCCATCTAAAACTTTGAAATAGTCTGTAGGGGGCGCTAATGTGTCAATTTGAATTAATTCACTTTCAAATGACCTAGACCCTAGAGTTGAACAATGTATTAAAGTTTTGTGCAAATCAGACTTTGTTTGTGCAAACGGGAGCAAATTTAATGTTGTCAAAAACGGCCAAAAAAAGGTCACATTTTGCCGCTCCGCTGCTCGAACAATGTTTCACTGATCAAAAATCCCTGAGGTCATTTTGAAGGTACATATGTTGAGATGATGTGGAGCCATTTTGAGGCGAATCGGTGAAACGGCCGAGGAGGGGTCGCTTTCCAACCGACATGTATGAAAACTTTTGCTGTTCATTTTTCCATTTTGCAGTGAAATTTATGGGCTTCCTGTTTGTCAGAGGGCGGGGCCATAATAATATTTTTTTCTTGTCTTGACTTGAGGAACATGTGTACCAAATCTCATGTTTCTACGACAAACTTGACCTCCAAAAAGTCCCATAGGGGTATTATTTTGGCTGTTGTAGGTGGCGCTGTTCTGTCATTTTTTGAGTCCCATAAAAATAAACACCAAAATATGAAATTTTTCGCCAGGTCTGATTTTTGGGCCAAAATTAACAACTTTTCATGCATATTCAGGGGGTCAAATTAAGGCTCAAAGTGCAGAAGAAAAAAGAAAGAAATAAATTAAAGCCGCAAGCGGCGTCGAACGGCCCTCGCCGCACCGCGCGACTCCCTGCACCGCGCGCACTCCCCGCACCAAGCCGCCCCGCACCATGCCGCCCTGCACCATGCCGTCCCGCACCACGCCGTCCCGCACCACGCCGCCCCGCACCAAGCCGCAACGCGCCGCTCCACAACGCCCCGCACTACGCCGCAGCACCGCTAAAAGGAGGTGGCACCGCCGTGTGATGATTTGTTTCCGTAGCCATAGAAGAATGTTAGTCAAATTGTAATGAATATGATAAGTAGAGCTGGTTTGGCTCCCCATGTAAACTTTGACAAAGTCTGTAGGGGGCGCTAATGGGCCAATTTCCAATATTTCACTTTAACCTGACCTAAACCCCGGAATTGAACAATGGATTAAAGTTTTGTGCAAATCAGACATTGTTTGTGCAAACAGGAGCAAAATTAATGTTGTCAAAAAGAGCCAAAAAAAACCCTCACATTTTGCCGCTCCGCTGCTCAAACAACGTTTCACGGATCAAAATTCCCTGAAGTCATTTTGAAGGTACATGTGTTGAGATGATGTGGAGCGATTTTGAGGCAAATCGGTGAAACGGCCGAGGCTGGTTTGATGTTTGTGTGAGGTGTACATTTGCAATGAATGGGGAGCGTTTCTCGTCGCCACGGCAACAGGGTAAAAAATAAGCCTTGGACCCAATTGACTTTTTGAATCAAGAGGGCAAAACAGATTTATGTGCAAAATTTCAAACATTTTGAAAAAACTAAATTTGAAAATGCCCATCTAAAACTTTGAAATAGTCTGTAGGGGGCGCTAATGTGTCAATTTGAATTAATTCACCTTCAAACGACCTAGACCCTAGAGTTGAACAATGTATTAAAGTTTTGTGCAAATCAGACTTTGTTTGTGCAAACGGGAGCAAATTTAATGTTGTCAAAAACGGCCAAAAAAATGTCAAATTTTGCCGCTCCGCTGCTCGAACAATGTTTCACTGATCAAAAATCCCTGAGGTCATTTTGAAGGTACATGTGTTGAGATGATGTGGAGCAATTTTGAAGCGAATCGGTGAAACGGCCGAGGAGGAGTCGCTTTCCAACCGACATGTATGAAAACTTTTGCTGTTCATTTTTCCATTTTGCAGTGAAATTTATGGGCTTCCTGTTTGTCAGAGGGCGGGGCCATAATAATATTTTTTTCTTGTCTTGACTTGAGGAACATGTGTACCAAATCTCATGTTTCTATGACAAACTTGACCTCCGAAAAGTCCCATAGGGGTATTATTTTGGCTGTTGTAGGTGGCGCTGTTCTGTCATTTTTTGAGTCCCATAAAAATAAACACCAAAATATGAAATTTTTCGCCAGGTCTGATTTTTGGGCCAAAATTAACAACTTTTCATGCATATTCAGGGGGTCAAATTAAGGCTCAAAGTGCAGAAGAAAAAAGAAAGAAAGAAAGAAAGAAAGAAATTAAAGCCGCAAGCGGCGTCGAACGGCCCTCGCCACACCGCGCGACACCCCGCACCACGCGCCTTGCCGCTCCGCTACGACTCCCCGCTCCGCTACGACTCCCCACTCCGCTACGACTCCCCGCACCGCGCTCCGCTACGACTCCCCGCACTGCGCTTCGCTACGACTCCCCGCACTGCGCACCGCTACGACTCCCCGCACCGTTACGACTCCCCGCACCGCTACGACTCCCCGCACCGCTACGACTCCCCGCACCGCGCGCCGCTACGACTCCCTGCACCGCGCGCCGCTACGACTCCCCGCTCCGCTACGACTCCCTGCACCGCGCGCTTCTACAACTCTCCGCTCCGCTACGACTCCCCGCACCGCTACGACTCTCCGCAGCGCTACGACTCCCCGCAGCACTACGACTCCCCGCACCGCTAGGATTCCCCGTACCGCGCAACTCGCCGCAACTCGCCGCAACCCGCAATTCCCCTCCCCGTGACTCCCCGCGTGACTCGCCGCTCAGCAGGTGGCGCCGCCGCGCCGCGCCATGATTTGCTACCATAGCCATAGACCAATGTATGTGATATTGATCCGTTGGTTTGGCTCCCCATGTAAAGCTTTAGCTCGGTATGTAGGGGGCGCTAAAGAGCCAATGTAATATTTTACACCTTCAGGTGACCCAGGCCCAGGAGTAGAACAACCGGGTCAAGTTTAGTACAAATCAAACTTTGTTTGTGCAAACGAGAGCTATTTTTCTATCGTCAAAAAAGGTCACTATTTGCCGCTCCACTGCTCGAACATCGTTTCCCTGATAAAAATTCCCTGAAGTCATTTTGAAGGTAAATGTGTTGAAATGATGTGGAGCAATTTTCAGGCGAATCTGTGAAACGGCCGAGGAGGAGTCGCTTCCCAAACGACATGTGTGAAAATTATTGCTGTTCGTTTATCCATTTTGCAGTGAAATTTATGGGCTCCCTGTCTGTCAGAGGGCGGGGCCATAATAACATTTTTTTCATGTCTTACCTTGAGGAATATGTGTACCAAATTTCATGGCTCTACGGCAAACTTGAACTCCAAAACTCTCATAGGAGTATTAAATTGGCTGTTGTAGGGGGCGCTGTTCTGGCATTTTAATTATTTCACTTTCAAATGACCTACACCCTAGAGTTTAACCATGAAAACAAGTTTTGTGCAAATCGGACTTTGTTTGAGTAAACGGAAGTAATTTTTCTATAGTCAAAAACTAAAAAAAAAAAACGCCACTTTTTGGCGCTCCGCTGCTCAAACAACGTTTCACTGATCAAAAATCGCTGAAATCAAAATGATGGTACATGTGTTTAGACGATGTGGAGCGATTTTAAGGCAAATCAGTGAAAAGGCCGAGGAGGAGTCGCTTTCCAACCAACATGTGTGAAAATGACATTCTGTAGGGGGCGCTAATGCCTCAATTTGATGTTTTACACTTTCAGTTTACCCAAACCCAAAAGTTGAACAACCAATTCAAATTTGGTGCAAATCGGACTTTGTATGTGCAAATGGTGGCTTTATTAGACTACAATTGCGCCCCCTACAACTTCAAATTTGAAGTCTCTTACTAGGGAACACAAAATTAATAAAGTGTTTGCAAGAACAGAACTTGTGGCAAAATTTTGTAAGTTTTCGTGCATGTTCAGTGGGTCAAATATGACATCAAACAACAGCAAACTTGTTCTTTCCCAGGTTTTCCTGGGCTAGAACAAGTATAATTAAAGCCGCAAGCGGCGTCGAACGGCCCTCGCCGCACCGCGCGACTCCCTGCACCGCGCGCACCACGCCGCCCCGCAACAAGCCGCCCCGCACACCAAGCCGCCCTGCACCAAGCCGCCCTGCACCACAGCCGTCCCGCACCACGCCGCCCCGCACCAAGCCGCAATGCGCCGCTCCACACCGTACCACGCAGCACCGCTAAAAGGAGGTGGCACCGCCGTGTGATGATTTGTTTCCGTAGCCATAGAAGAAGTTAGTCAAATTGTAATGAATATGATAAGTAGAGCTGGTTTGGCTCCCCATGTAAACTTTGACACAGTCTGTAGGGGGCGCTAATGGGCCAATTTCCAATATTTCACTTTAACCTGACCTAAACCCTGGAATTGAACAATGGATTAAAGTTTTGTGCAAATCAGACTTTGTTTGTGCAAACAGGAGCAAAATTAATGTTGTCAAAAAGAGCAAAAAAAACCCTCACATTTTGCCGCTCCGCTGCTCAAACAACGTTTAACGGATCAAAATTCCCTGAAGTCAGTTTGAAGGTACATGTGTTGAGATGATGTGGAGCGATTTTGAGGCGAATCAGTGAAACGGCCGAGGCTGGTTTGATGTTTGTGTGTGAGGTGTACATTTGCAATGAATGGGGAGCGTTTCTCGTCGCCACGGCAACAGGGTAAAAAATAAGCCTTGGACCCTATTGACTTTTTGAATCAAGAGGGCAAAACAGATTTATGTGCAAAATTTCAAACATTTTGAAAAAACTAAATTTGAAAATGCCCATCTAAAACTTTGAAATAGTCTGTAGGGGGCGCTAATGTGTCAATTTGAATTAATTCACCTTCAAACGACTTAGACCGTAGAGTTGAACAATGTATTAAAGTTTTGTGCAAATCAGACTTTGTTTGTGCAAACGGGAGCAAATTTAATGTTGTCAAAAACGGCCAAAATAAGGTCACATTTTTCCGCTCCACTGCTCGAACAATGTTTCACTGATCAAAAATCCCTGAGGTCATTTTGAAGGTACATGTGTTGAGATGATGTGGAGCGATTTTGAGGCAAATCGGTGAAACGGCCGAGGAGGAGTCGCTTTCCAAGCGACATGTATGAAAATGATTGGTTTTCATGTTTCCATTTTGCAATGAAATTTATGAGCTTCCTGTTTGTCAGAGGGCTTAGCCATAATTACATTTTTTCCATGTCTTGACTTGAGGAACATTGTACCAAATTACATGGTTCTACGGCAATTTTGACCTTGAACCCCTGCCATAGGCATTTTTAAATTGGCTGTTGTAGGTGGCGCTATAGAGCCAATTTCAAAATTTGAACTTTCAATTGACCTAGACTCAAGAGTTGAACCATGGATTCAAGTTTTGTGCCAATCACACTTTGTTTGTGCAAACGGAAAAAAATATTCTATTGTCAAAAACTGAAAAAAAATACGCACACTTTTTGGCGCTCTGCTGCTCAAACAACGTTTCACTGATCAAAATTCCCTGAAGTCATTTTGATGGAACATATGTTGAGATGATGTGGAGCGATTTTGAGGCGAATCGGTGAAACGGCCGAGGCTGGTTTGATGTTTGTGTGAGGTGTACATTTGCAATGAATGGGGAGCGTTTGTCGTCGCCACGGCAACTGGGTTAAAAATAAGCCTTGGACCCAATTGACTTTTTGAATCAAGAGGGCAAAACAGATGTATGTGCAAAATTTCAAACATTTTGAAAAAACTAAATTTGAAAATGCCCATCTAAAACTTTGAAATAGTCTGTAGGGGGCGCTAATGTGTCAATTTGAATACATTCACTTTCAAATGACCTAGACCCTAGAGTTGAACAATGTATTAAAGTTTTGTGCAAATCAGACTTTGTATGTGCAAACGGGAGCAAATTTAATGTTGTCAAAAACGGCCAAAAAAAGGTCACATTTTGCCGCTCCGCTGCTCAAACAATGTTTCACTGATCAAAAATCCCTGAGGTCATTTTGAAGGTACATGTGTTGAGATGATGTGGAGCGATTTTGAGGCGAATCGGTGAAACGGCCGAGGAGGAGTCGCTTTCCAACCGACATGTATGAAAACTTTTGCTGTTCATTTTTCCATTTTGCAGTGAAATTTATGGGCTTCCTGTTTGTCAGGGGGCGGGGCCATAATAATATTTTTTTCTTGTCTTGACTTGAGGAACATGTGTACCAAATCTCATGTTTCTACGACAAACTTGACCTCCGAAAAGTCCCATAGGGGTATTATTTTGGCTGTTGTAGGTGGCGCTGTTCTGTCATTTTTTGAGTCCCATAAAAATAAACACCAAAATATCAAATTTTTCGCCAGGTCTGATTTTTGGGCCAAAATTAACAACTTTTCATGCATGTTCAGGGGGTCAAATTAAGGCTCAAAGTGCAGAAGAAAAAAGAAAGAAAGAAATAAATAAATAAAAAAGGAATTTTTTTGTTAACGTCTCGAGCAAAAACAATATAGGTTTCAATGGCATGTGATACATCATTTTAAAGCTTTTGAGTTTACGCACGCAACCGTCACGTTTTGGTGAGTGACGGGCGCTGACGCGTCCGTCACGCACCGCCACCATTTGTTTTCACCATTGTGAAAGCAATAGGCCCTTACCCCGTTCGGGGCTCGGGCCTAATTAAAGCCGCAAGCGGCGTCGAACGGCCCTCGCCGCACCGCGCGACTCCCCGCACCGCGCGCACCACCCCGTTCCACGCCGCCCCGCACCAAGCTGCTGTCCTGCCTCATGCCGCCCCGCACCAAGCCGCCCCGCACCAAGCCGCAACGCACCGCTCCACAACGCCCCGCACTACGCCGCACCACACCGTACCACGCAGCCCCGCTCAAAGGAGGTGGCACCGTTGTGTGATGATTGGTTCCCGTAGCCATAGAAGATTTTTAGTCAAATTGTAATGAATATGATAAGTAGAGCTGGTTTGGCTCCCCATGTAAACTTTGACTCAGTCTTTAGGGGGCGCTAATGGGCCAATTTCAAATATTTCACTTTCACCTGACCTAAACCCTGGAGTTGAACAATGGATTCAAGTTTAATGCAAATCAGTCTTTGTTTGTGCAAACGGGGAAAAAATGTATGTTGTCAAAAACGGCCAAAAAAACCCTCACATTTTGCCGCTCCGCTGCTCAAACAACGTTTCACTGATCAAAAATCCCTGAAGTCATTTTGAAGGTAAATGTGTTGAGATGATTTGTAACAATTTTGAGGCCAATCGGTGAAACAGCCGAGGAGGAGTCGCTTTCCAACCAACGTGTATGAGAATGATTGGTTTTCATTTTTCCATTTTGCAGTGAAATTTATGGGCTTCCTGTTTGTCAGAGGGATTAGCCATAATAACATTTTTTTCCATGTCTTGACTTAAGGAACATGTGTACCAAATTACATGGTTCTACGACAATTTTGACCTCGAACCCCTCCCATAGGCATTTTTAAATTGGCTGTTGTAGGTGGCGCTATAGAGCCAATTTCAAAATTGTAACTTTCAAATGACCTAGACCCAAGAGTTGAACCATGGATTCAAGTTTTGTGCAAATCAGACTTTGTTTGTGCAAACGGAAGCAATTTTTCTATTGTCAAAAACTGAAAAAAAATACGCCACTTTTTGGCGCTCCGCTGCTCAAACAACGTTTCACTGATCAAAATTCCCTGAAGTCATTTTGATGGTACATGTGTTGA